CGTTCAAAAGAATTTTTACTTATATTTATATTAATATGCAATTTTTAGCGATTATTATTATATTATAGCGGGCCTCAAAATCATCATTCGAGTGTAAAGGATTAAATTTTCATTTTATTATGGAATTGTCAATGCGCCAAGCACGGAATACTTACTAATAACAACTGCAACATGTTGTCAATGACGCTTCGATCGAAACTACAAGTCGCAGCTCCGACGACATATAAATAAATCCTCGGCGTTGCTGACACCACAAATTTAGAAATTCCTCATAACACACACATTTATTGAAATACTGTACTTCCGACGTGTGGCAACTGGCACCTTCGCGGAATTGATATCTGTTTCCGTATTGCCTCAGAAAAATTCAATGAGTTTCCTTGTTCGTTTAAAGCATTATGATGTCTCGGAATTGATCTTTAATATTGACATTTTACATCGCTTAAGTTTTCTCCTATAGGAGGAAATAGTTGGCTCATCATTTTGGGATTTCAATGTACATATTTCGGCGCATGAGATAAAATTCATGAGAGCACATAGACGCGCGTTGTATAATAATAACGTTTATGGAAATCCGTCTGGCTCCGAATTCAGGGAACTTTTCCGACCCATCCATGCAGTGCTGGACCCAAACGACATAGAAATTGTATTCTTGGCCAACGTATGAATAATTTCCGGCAACATGCCCCGGCCTGCTGAAAACTCCTTTCCAATGTTATATTTATTGTTATATTTCCAATGTTATATTAAGGTGCGTTTTGTAACGATACTTGATATCACGTTATACATTAAAATTTTAGAAAATCGATCAGGTGAAATTGTGCTATAGTGCGGTTTTTCTAAAATTCGCCCCCTATAAAAATCTCCCCTTCGGGAGATTCCCCTTGAACGGGAGAAATAATTTTTAATCATTTTTAACTATATTCTTGATTAGCGATTTTGACTTTGTAAACAGATTTGCTAAAAATGTGAACAATTGCGTTAGTAAAAAGTCATTAGAGTGTTCAGAAACAAATATTGGAAATTGGATCCTAATGATAATACAAGACCCATACAAATTATTCAAATAGATATATATTTACTTGATATATATAATTTGTGTGGGTCTTGTATTATCATTAGGATCCAATTTCCAATATTTGTTTCACTCTAATGATTTTTTACTAACGCAATTGTTCACATTTTTAGCAAATCTGTTTACAAAGTCAAAATCGCTAATCAAGAATATAGTTAAAAATTATTAAAAATTATTTCTCCCGTTCAAGGGGAATCTCCCGAAGGGGATATATATATACATACATACAAGTAACGAAAGACAAATCGGAGATCAGAAAACAGATCATTACTCGTGCCAGAGCGGTGCGAACGGACTGGAATCATTGGCATTGGCTTTGCAATTAAATTGGTCAAGTGGCAGAAATTTGTGACCAATTTATCGAGCCGGCTGTAATTATTTGCAATAGTAGTTCAGTAGGAGAACAACATCCGAATCTCATTTCGCGCGACAATCAGGGCATGTCAGCAGGGCCGGCGGCCTCGAAGTGCAACGAACTTGGAAAATCAAGGATTTCGCGCATTCCGTACGCGCATACCATTATTTGGTTTCGCAATACGGCGGCTCGTTCGAACAGTAATTCCAGTGAATCAAATTGCACCGCGTTGTTGATCGTAAGATTTATCACTCGACTTGACTGCAACGAGAGAGAAAAAACGGTTCTAGCGTTGACTATATCGCATTCTCTATGCGCCGGTCCGTAGAAATAATAATTTGTTATGTTTATGGAATATGCAGTATGCCGGGGCATGCGATTACTGGCAGAGGTGGCGTGAACGTTTTTCACGACCGTGTTTTGAAAGTTTCGTACACGTAGATTAGATTGTGCATCGTTTTACGACAGGTTGTACATAGTAGAATAAGAGAAATTCGAGACAAATTGGTTCACTTTCACAGCAGTTATTAAATTTGATCTATCTGAATCATTACTGCGGGATTATGTCGTTCTAAAATCACATTCAGCGATTCGAGTGTGAGCGAAACGGCCTATTAATTTATTAGTAAATAGAATATTGCGTAAAGAGAAGCAATCTTGTATACAGCACTTTTTCATGCAGTAATCGAGATGCTCTGTTTCCTTTGTTTTCTAGAGGGTAGTCCAGTATTGTGCAATGAAACCGATTTTATCTTTTTCATGTTACAACTGTAGGGCAGAAGTAGAATAATCTATATTTAATGTTAAATACGTAGCTAGTGTGTAAACTTCATTCTATTGGTAATATTATTATTTAATTGATTAATGTATTTGATTGTTGTATACGTTATAACTAGATTGTGTAAGTAGTAATGCAATAATGCAAATCCTTGTGAACAGTTGGCAACTCATAAATCTCTGAAATCCACAGTCTAATTCGAATCGTTTGCGATGATTTAAACCTAATCCATTGATAAATGGTATTTTTTTTTAGAAAGTCGTACTCGCAATTACAGTACGTATTTTTCAGCTTTTTCCCTCGTCCCCTATATATTGTTTGCCCTTTTTCTTTATGCCATAAGCTCGTCATGGTATCCTAAAGTCTCTCGTAATATGACTTGATATGACTGGCGGAATTTTTATGTATTATTGAAAGTATGAAATTTCTTTAGTTTCTTTTGAACATTTTCATTTTGTAGTCTTAAGTCGTGCATCTAGAAGTATTTGAGTAAATTTTAACAAAATCTTTAGACAAATTGCTATGCGATATGTCATAGACGGAATGAACAGGGTGCCATTGCAGGGGTGCAGGGATCGAAACGATTGTAGAATTTTGTTATTAGGAAAATTTTGTTAAAGGAAATAATAGATTTTTCATAAATTTAGTAATATTTATTGTACAATATAATTTCCGTCGTTACTTATGACCTCTTGCCAGCGTGATGGCAATTTGTGAGCAACATTTTTCAAAAATATATGTCTCAAATGAATATGTGCATATCTATTGAAATTTGCAATGACATTATCAGACAGAACTTTCCGGTAGACCTAATATATTTACTTCGTTCCAGTACAAATGGAATTTACAAGTACTATATTTAATAGAAACAAATGTCTAGTTCATCTATATCAAAAAAGTTCTCAATCATCGTGACGAATATCGAATATTCTCCAATTAATTTATCTATTTAAA